TACCGATAGGGAATTCAAAGGCGTTTGCCTATATTTCCCTTAATAAATTGACCCGACTTCACTTGACTTGTCGTGGGAAAAATTATATATTATCATGGGAGTGAGACACAAAGAGCTCATCGGGGACAGTGGGATCGAAACGAGATTTTGCTAGTGCCTGGGTTTTGTGAACGCCCCGATACTTATTTTCCTCCGAAGGAGAACCTGACTTGAGGAATAATAGATGTTATAGACCCTGTTTTGCGCACCGGGAAAAATTGTTGACTTGCTGACGTTTCGGACAGCTGGGCCCGCTATAAACATAAAATTTATTATCATTATTATTATTTACATTATTTTCTTCCATCGTTAGATTTTTTGCAAAAAGTGTATTAAACAAGCCAGCCTTTTCAGATTCATCGAGAGCGAAGTTTTTATCTCATTTAGCATTGGGGAGATATCGTGGCCTCATTTATCGGATGACCGACGACGGAACAGTCGGGCAAAAGCTTTTGCAGAGTTTAACTCACTGAGAACCCGCTTATAAAATAACAGTCAACAATATTACGGGGTGAGAAATCTCCTGTATCGGTGGCAAAGTTCAGACAGCCACCGATTTCCAAAAAATGGGAGAAAAAACTCCTTAAATTGGTAGTTAGGATGATATGGTACGATATGATGCAATGAGGAGGGAAAGCGATGACTGGGGTTTGGAACGCTCATTATACGAATTTAACAAACTAATGCGTACACAGAGTCGTACAGAAATTCGTATCTCATTTTTCATTTGGACGGTGGGTCTCTTGATCCTTTAAAACCCTCCTTGCACGAAATATCGCGCAGCACTCGTCTGAAGACTTTTTTTGGGTATTAGAAGACGTTATTATACTTAAAAAATTGTACAAATTTGTACAAAATACTTGCGCTATTTATGTTCATCATAGAACTTATGGGCATCGTGACGGGCCGGCTTCCGGCGGGGGTTCATTTACCGCTTGGGAATCTGACACAGAAAAAAGAAGATGGCAGTGTACAAATTATTGTATTATTTACGTGCCAATTGTTTGCGTTGACTTGCCATGCGAATCGATTGTACGGGAATCGTTCGAAGTTTTAAAAACCCTCTGACAAAAGGAGAATAAGAGTATATCTTACGCAGGATAACGCTGTAGGCGTCCGTACTGAAGAACGCTCTTTATCCTTGTTGGCGCCCATAAACTTTAGGGACCTCTTTTATACTGTCTGCAAGCAAAGTTTGCAAAACCCTTTTAACGTAGGCATTGTCTGCGCACATTTACACAAAGTAGGCGTCTGGCAACGTAGGTTGTACTGGGTCACTTACCCCCCGCGGCTGGTATTCCGACGGGAAAGAGCATTCTCAAAGTCCGAAGACTTAATAACGGTGCTGCCCGAATCGTAAAAATGAGATTCCTAAGGCAGTAGTAAGTAAAGCAAACGTGGCGCTTACAGAGGGCAAAAAAAGATTTTGGATGCCCCGATGATTGCAGGAAAAACATATTTTAAGGTGATTGGATGCCGTGTACTACTTTTTCATCCGCATCGTTGAGTTACTTCGTCTGAAATCGTAAGTTATAGCACATTATAACTGAAATCCTCCTCCAAATGTTCTCTAGTTCCACTAACCTCTTGGAGAACGGCTTTCTTTATGCGCCTGTAACGGGTACTCCTCAAAACAGGCTTGAACATGCTGAACAAAATCACTATACAAAATAGTATTTACAAAGTATGCGCGAACAGAAACGTCAGGAAAGTAATGCGACCGCTCGGCAGCGTGACAGTGCGTGGAATGGCGTGCGAAACGCGCCCCGGCCCCTCGCCAGAAAGTGCGGTTGATTTTCCAATAGCTGGCCGCGCATGCGTTCGCGTCGTTAGTCTGGTAACCAATCAAATTTTGCCACGGAAAACAACGAAAATTCGAGTCTCAATTCGTTAACTTTTGCTATTAGGGATAGGCCATATGGTTGTAGCTGCCATGACAGCCCTGTCCGTAGGACAACACTTTCGTGAGTAACACTGGTTTCAAAACACTGGTTTCATGCATATCATTTCAGCTATGAACTTTGTTTTTACCACATTCAAATGCTGCAAAAAACCGGAAAGATTTTTTGACAGGCTTAACCTACCAAGTGCATGCTACTCACTGACCTTTTGCTTAGTAGTTTCGAAAATTGACCCTCTTTCACATTGTCTTCTGAATTTCACGCTGAAGCTCTTTGTTCCGTGTATTTTTGCGTCCAGACACGCAGTTTGTCCTCGGAACCCCACCGAAACTAAGGAACTGGTATATCCAAAGGTTGGCCTCTATAACTTACGCATATCATACGTTTAAGTGTATACGAACGCCTATTTCGGGTCTTTGCGCGTCATTTAATTACCTTTGAAATGTCGGCTTCGTTTGATGATGGTGGGGAGCAGCTAAGCAAACATTTGAGAGTTTTTTATAAAAAGATATTCCCCTGCGAACTTTTTGCCCGTTGGCTCGCCTACGATTCCAAAAATACGGCGGATACGGTTTAAATGTTCTATTTTGTTTATCATGGCTTAGCTTTCGCGTAGAGAGTTTAGTTTTTCACTCGCTGGCGATGTTTATATTCGCTACCAAAGCTTCAACGACGCTATATCCTTAAGAAAGGAGTTGGTCAAGGCCTGTCCACATAAAATTGACATAGGCGCAGTGTACAGTGCCTCGCCAGCGCTTCAACGATCCCTATCCGCGTCTTCTTTCAAGGTACTGCCATTCTTTTTCGCGATGGTTTAGTCAATTTATTCATTTTCTCTGTAAGTATTTCGGTCTTTTGTGTTATTAATTTCATCAGCTTGCCCCTGCTAGTGTACTTATATGTGTTTATTATCAGCTTGTCGTTCGCGGTTTCTTATTCCCCAGTAAGGTGCTACAGAGGAACTCTTTACCTTCTGTGATGTTTAGTCAGCGGAGCATATATATTGATAGAAAATCTCTTTTACCCTTAATCTTCAGTAATCACGTTCAAGTTTGAATCGAAATTTTCAAGGTAAACCTGACTGTCCGAGGGAGGTGTAGATGTGAAGTCAACCTAAAATCTGCAATTGTATGGATGCAGATTTTGCAGACTGTTAAGGAAGTGAAAACCGAACTTCGCAGAGACTTTATGGCACGTATAACTATGAATCGCCTTTTTTCCACTGCTTGGTCTTGTTTCGTGGGCACTATTGTTCTGAGAATTCAATTGCTTGCCTCAAGTCGACGACGGCCCAAGAAGGGGCTCCATCCCCTATACATCCTGCGTCCAGTTCGCCTGCCCCGAGCAAGCGTAACACACCTGTCCGCTAGAAGTTTGGATGAACCCGTCGCGCGATGAATAAATGAATAAATGGATGATGAATAAATGGTACTCAAGAGGTATTAGCAACAAATACAATAAACTAACAAACTCCTTCGAACTTATTGACCGTCGGTCAGCAATGTCTGAAACTAACGGCAAAGTGTCTTTTTAATGGCCAATGACATCTGGACTCAAACGCTGGTATTCACGACCCGGAATTTTCGTATGACCAACCAGCGGCGCCAAATAAGCAGAAAATAGTCATTACTGGTCTAGTGGGTATGAATAATGCTACGCATACCGCTTGTTCACGCGTAATGTTTCGGTAATGGATATGCTAAGTTCCACGCATTGCACCCTCCCCCCTCCCTCTCCGGTTTGGCAGAATCCTTTTATTAAGAGCCGCAGTTATGTCTCAAAGATTACGGTAAAAGTATCCAATTTGCCACCGTCACCATTCTTTGTTGACCTGGGGAGTATTCGCACCATCGCAATACGTGTGAACTGCATCATTTGGGAAGAAGAAGAATAGCCCACTCGAAGCGTTGTTCGCAGGTATTGGTTTTGTTTCGACTGGCCGGACAAATGCCCAATACGGGTAGATCTTAATATCGATCGGGGCGTCGTTATGGGCCCATAGTAACATTAACAGACTTTCGAAAACCCCGACGACGACTCGGGTGACAACATTCCCGCCCCGTCCCTTAATAATTTGTGTCTACGATATTTCAGATGACCACCCATTAGTCATAAGAATGCCTTCTCATAGGTAGGCGTTAATTTCGAGTCTCCTTTAGTTTTTGCATCGTGTATGCTTAAGTTTTCAGATTAGTGATCATTTGAATTCGAGATGCTACATCCTGTAGGTCACCGTAGCCTTACTTGCTGGTATTTTTAATCATAGATATTCGTGTGCCGTGTGTCACTCTAGTTTTCGCACTCTTTATCTCCCTTCTCAAAGACGGGCTCAAATCTGGTCGAACCCCAGTCTTCAGGATCTGATGAATATTAACAGTATACTGAACCAGAATGCTAGTTCCTTTACGGGACTTGTTGGCTTTAGTGTGAATGCTATCCCCGCCGTCCTGTTGGTCTGTTTGAATTCTAAGTATTGTATTCTTACTTAATTCCAATGAAAGAGGGTCACACGAAACTGCACAGACTGGATTTTCGTGATACTGTCTTTCCGAAGAAAAAGGGACTGTCTGGTCGGTCGCCAGAGTTAAGATGCTCGACGTTTCTGGGTTTTTACATTTAGAACACAGACCAGAGCAGCTAGTTAAGTGGTTGTTTGAATTTCGGCCTCGTCCGGGTGGGTCTTTTCAGTTATCGGCAGTAATTAGTAACTCATTGCAAGAAGACTTCCGAGCTAGTTCGTCTTGTTTTTAGACGACAGAAGCAAAAATGCCAGCTTTCCACATTTCGTTGAGTTCTTCTAAGAGGGTAATTGTTACCACGTCAACTAGAGAGATTGTGTAGACGGCTGCGGTAACGAAGAAATGGTAGTCCAACATGGGAACTGTAATTTATTAGAGGTAGGAAGAGGGGCAACTTAAGAGGTACGAACTTCAAACGGGTGCTACATTTCTTTTTTGTGCTGTGAACACTGCCCGTGATTAGATTTTGGGCTGCCTGACCAAATAATGTTTACACATCACCAAGCACTTCTCAGGAGCATGACCGTCTAATTTCCCCCCCCCTGTGCACTATTAAGCTCCGATCATGTCTATCGTGGACGTTGAGCATGGTTCTTGTACTTTGCCCTATAGTCGGATCTCCTCAAGCTGCCAGGTTTATTTATTCGAAGTCATGTATCATAGATTTCTGTTTTTCTAAACCTATCCTCAGAGTACTTGCGACATAATAACTGATTTAACGGTTGTCTGGGGTTTCCATCCCACAGTCCAGTCAAGGACACCTGAAATGTACGTCTGATCCATCTTGTCACGTAAATTTCTGCAAATGTCTTACCGAAGCTATCGCGCTTTTCGTCTTGTCGACGTCGATAGCCAGACGTTCATGCTGCGCCTACTCTTTGTTTAGTAAAATTCTTTTCGGCAGACATTCGCCTCTCTTTATTTCCTTGTGATGTTCCAGTCGACCGGCAGGAAGGAGGACAAAGAGCGACTACAGTGCCATTTCTTGCTTATTTGATCTCCTTAGCCAATCCTGTCTCAACCTCTTACTGTGTGGATGGGACTTAGTGAATTGCTTTGCACGATGGCCCTCGATTGCTTCACAAGCACATCATTAACTCGTAGTGCGACTGTCCTAGATGCACAGGGACCTGTGTGCGGACGAAAACTTCGCGTCTAGCTGTAGCTGCCGGCGAAGCCCGATGAGCCAAATTACCCGTTGCAATTGCCGCCCTTACCAATCGTCCCTGTACAACAGTTACTTGTCGCTAAGCTGGACAAAACCAACCTGTTCTTCCGTGTAATCAGATCAGTAGAACGACGCTTTTATAAGACGTGAGCATATTTTGGAGCCCGGAAGCCGATCAGCTGCCATTGAATATTCAAAACTTGAACAGAGTTAATCATGAAGCAAAAACGAGGGCTTGAACTTAAAGCGAAGGTGACCAATATTTTTTCCTCAGATCTCTATTCTCTGAACTCGCACTGAACTCATTGTGGTCACCCTACACTTCATCAAATGGTTCGCTCTGCGAAATGTTTCAAGAACTCGTATTTTTCTCACCGTAAAAGCTTCCTTTCTCTCTGTACAAGCTAAAATCTCGTGGCGATTAGTTTTTCCTTTGTCTATGTCCCCTCTTCTTGGTCGACCAGA